TTTGCTGGTCGTGGGACCTGAACTCTGGGCCTGGGCACTGTCCCTCAGCTCTTCAGCTCAAGGCTAGCCCTCTACTACTTGAGCTACAGCGCTGCTTCCAGCCTTTTCTGCTTATGTGGTGCTGAGGAATCGAACCCAGGGCCTTAGGCATGCAAGGCAAGCACTCTACCACTGAGCCACCTTCCCAGCCCTTGGAATTTTTTTATGTGTTACTCAATGAGATGATCAAAGTACCACGGGGAAGAGATGCAAGAAGAGCCTCTTTGGGGCACCTCTCCAAATAGAGAGTCTCCTTTCCTTTCATGGTTTTCCTTTCACTTTCACATAAACTTACTCTGTTTACCTTGAAAACAAAGATGTGTTTAATATGAGAGTAAAAGAAGGTTCAAAGTAGATAATTTTAAATAGTTTGAAATTTTTATTTTGTATAGTTTCCAATAATGAGATTACTTTTGAATCATGGTTTTTTTTTTTTTTTTTTACTTTACTGAATTTCCTGCTTTCATAAAAATTTCTTTTGGTTTTGCTCTTATTATCCATGTGTGTGTGCAAACCGTAAGTGAATTCTTCAATTATTGAGGTCCTTGTCTTGGTAAGTAAGCTGAGATCCACAATTGAAGACAGAATCAGTAGGGGTTTTCAGCTGACCAGAAGGACTACTGTTGGAAACAATTGAAGGGTTAAAAATCGTGGAAGGAGGACCATAAGACACTACATTGTCCTCATTAAAAAATAGCTAAGTTCTATTTGTATATTAGTATTTCACTAAAATTTTTGGAAGGTCATTTTTTTATTATATTTCCTTTCTTCTCATGTATTACTGCTGGCATGTAATGTCTTCTATCTAATGGTCTCACTTCATGTTACTCTTCATTTATAGCATTTACCATATTCTGCCTCTTCTTTTATGTATTTTTCATGCTTTTTAAGATAGCATTGGCATCCCTAAACCCCAAATGTACCAAAATCTCTAACATTTTTAGTACCAACATGATACCATAGGAGAAAATTTGGCACTGATGGGTTTTAGTTGAAATGCAGGTAAATTAAAAATACTGTAAAAAAATTACCTCTAAGCTATATGTATAAGGTTTGTATGAAATAGAAATAAATTGTATATGTAGACTTGGGTATTATCTACAAAATATATCATTAAGTATAAACAAATATATCAAACTTTGAAAAAAACTTGTTTCTAAGCATTTTGGTTAGGGAATAATTGACATATACCTTGTTTTTAGGTTTTACTCTCTTGAGGGTCATAATCATATTTCTCTAATTCAGATCTCTGACATCATATCTTGCATAGTGTAGATTTCAAATATAAATTGAATTACAAAATTTACTTAATTTATATGATCATAAAATATAATAAAATAAGCCAGGCACCAGAGTCTCAAGAGGCTGAGAGGACAGTTTGGACATCAGTGTCCTTGAGGCTTCACTGCTAAAACAACCACAAAAAGTAGGACTGGAGGCATGGCTCCAATGGTAGGTAGCGTGTAAGCCAAGCAAGTAAGCTGAGAAGTTCTAGGTCATTAAACATGTAAATAAATAAGTAAATAAACCTAGCAATTTGATTGACTGGAAAGTAATCTTGAAATTATTATATATAATAAAGTTCTACTAGTAGCCTGTTATGATTTTAGATTTTCACCCTTGAGTCTAACCTCAGGTAAATAAAAAGCCTGATTTGAACACATAGATAATTGAGATTTTGTTGTAATTTTATAGAAGAGATTAAAAAATATACCACATAACTAAAAATTAAATTACTATGATTTTGAAGTACAGAATTATACTGAATGTTTTTTTAAATTTTTTATTCTTTTGGTTTGTTGTGGGGCTTGAACTCAGGGCCTGGGCACTGTTTCTGAGCTTTTTTGCTCAAGGCTAGTGCATTTCCACTTTGAACCACTTTCATAAATTGCATTTTTAAAATGTATAATTTAATAACTTTAATCTTTGTAATAGATTTGAGCATCTTTTTAGTAGAATAATAGCCTACTAATACAGCAAACAAAACAAAAAAGCTTGTATGCATTTTCATACTTTATGGAGCTTATATTTGGTTGGAGCGCATATTTGGTTAGGAGTGTGTGTGTGTGTGTGTGTGTGTGTGTGTGTGTGTGTGTGTGTGTGTGTGTGTGTGTGTTGTATGTGTGTATGGTAGGTTTGAACTCAAAGCCTTGTGCTTTCTAGGCTACTGCTGAACTATACTTCCAGCTCTTTTGTGGTTAGGAGCGTGTGTGTGTGTGTGTGTGTGTGTGTGTGTGTTGTATGTGTGTTGTATGTGTGTATGGTAGGTTTGAACTCAAAGCCTTGTGCTTTCTAGGCTACTGCTGAACTATACTTCCAGCTCTTTTGTGCTAATTATTTTTTTGATAGGGTCTTACTTCCTGCTTGGGTATGTGCCTGTACTGTGATCATGATTCTCCCATTTTAGGCTTCCTGTTGAATCTGGGATGACAGATGCATAACAGCATACCCAGTTGCTGGTCAGGAAGGGATGTTGAGAGCTTTTTGCCTGGCTAGCCTCAAACTATGATCATCCCAACTTCTACTTAGCATTTAGGATTACAAGTATGTGCCACTAACACATGACTAAATTCCTATGAATTAACTCCGTTGACACAGAAATAAGGGTCTGGGATGTATTGCATATTGATATAAAAATGCTGTTGTAAGGAATATTCTGTATCAAGTTTTCTGTTACCTTTGTATTGGTGGCTCTGGGACCTTGTGCATACTAGGCAAGCATGTCCTCTGAGCTATATCCCTGGATAAATGAGCATGGATGCTTTTTTACAAAATTATTAGTAATTAAGTGAATATTGTGTAAAAAAACAATCCTGAGGGTGGCTCCTTAGTATGAATTTAATTTTTTTTAAACAAGTTGTCTTATTTAGTCAGAGGGAAATAGTTGCAGTCATTTGTGACTTGTTAATATGAAAACTGAATTTTTAACACAGGAATATTTTAGTTTTAATTAATAAGCTATTAGAGCTGGGCGTTGGTAGCTTGCACCTGCAATTGTAGCTACTCAGGAGGTTGAGATCTGAGGATTGAGGTTTGAAACTAACCTGGGCAGAAAAATCTGTGAGTCTCTTGTCTCCACTTAACCACCAAGAAAGCCAGAAGTTGAGCAGTGGCTCCAGTGGTAGAATGCTAGCCTTGAGCAAAAAAGCTAAGGGACAGTGCCCAGTCCCTGAGTTCAAGCCTCAGGACCTGTGCACACGCGCGCGCGTGCATACAGACACATACACACACACACATGCACACACACACACACACACACACACACACACACACACGACTATTAGAAGTTTCTGGTAGGTATGCATTTTCTTTGTTGTAAATCAATGGGTATAATTTTGCTTGCCTGAAAGATGATTATGAGTAAATTGTTTACTTGTTCACTCAGTGTCAAATGGGCAATAGGGCAGAGTTATAATATTTGCCAGTGATATTTTTTAAATTTTATTTCTTATTATAGACGATGAAAGTACATGAAAAACACCAGGCAAATCTATTAAAAATCTGTTTTTATCCTGATTTCTTTGGCATGCCTATAAACCTAAAGATTAAAAATATTTAATACAGAAAGAAATTGTAATTGATCCTTTGGAGTCCACATAAAATGAATTCTAAAGTGTAAAGATATTAGATATTCCATGCCAGATATATTTATTCAATGAAAAGTTTCTTAATACTTTTATCTATGAATTAATAATTCCTCTACCTTGTTTAAAAAAAACCTTTTTACTTTCTTAAGCTACATTTTGTCAAATTGAAATAATTTCTTTAGATACATAAAAAAGTGAATTAAAAAGACAAGAAATGGGTCTTCATCAAGATTTGACAGTATGCTAGCATTATTATAAGTTATAAAACCCTATTTAATATGCGAGTAGCCTCAATAAATTTAAGCTATTGCACGGTGGTCATTTTCCCAGGGTGCTAGGTTGTTTAGTAAACTAGGTTATTTGAATCCCATTTATTTGTATAAAAGTGATACATTATTGAATTGTTTGGCAAGATCATTTTTATTTAAAAAATGAGCTATTACTTGATTTAGTGAATACAATGTTGTTATTTTTTGTCCAATTAATCAGTTACAATGTAGCCAGAACTATCTTGGTTCAAGTAACATATTACTTTCTGATGGTATTAGCACATATTGCCAGTTTATTATACTATGGAATTGAGAAGTGTTTGAGAAGAAATTCCCAATGCTTATAATCTGTAGTTAGAATTGGTAATTTCATAATTTTCTGACATGAATTGAGGAGTGGAGAGAAAAGTATTTAAAATTATTACATGTGTGAATAGAAAAAGTAGCAAGATTCATAGTTACTTTAATGATTTTCATAGTGGCATCAAAGCTACCATACTTTAAAGATTGTGTGGGGACATTGTGTAAATTGTATTACTCTAAAGTTGTTATGTATCCAAGATTAGAAATAGTTGGCTTTGTTTGTTTTTTCCTACAATGATAGAAAAGTTTTTTTTCCTCTTCCTAGTATGGGGGTTGGTATAGTTAACTTCCATTATAAAAAATGGCTGAGTTCAAGTTAAAAATCACTTTATTTTAATGTACTTTTCTTTTGTCAGCATTCTGTACTAACCTATAACATTTGGCTTAGAATAGGCAGAGAGGGAAGGAAGAAAACCATTGTTGCTATAGTTTTCTTCCAACTCTTTTCAGTTTATTTTTATAAGTATAGTATATTCCATCTTAGAAAAAAAATCAATCTTTTTTTCATAGTAAACATGAATTTTAAACGTTCCCTATTTTGGTATACATATACAGGATTATTTTTGGTTCAAAAATTTTAAAATACTAATATATATCTTAGGATTTTCTACATTCAAAAGACAATGAAATTTTATACACAGTTCATTATTTTTGATGCTTCAAATAATAAAGTAAGTGTATTATATTAGGAAATATAGTGGTAAAAAAGACCCTTGGATTACTTTGACTGTTTTGAGCCTGTAACTTTGTTTTTCATGTTAAATGTTACTCTAGCTGTCATCATATAAATATATCTGTAGTTGTGGATTACAAACAATACACATTATATCTTTTTAAAAAGCAGATAATTGTGTCCATTATATTTTAAAATTATACACTGCTTTAAGGCTATGTATTTATTCTTTAGAAAATATGACTTACATGAATATTTTGTGATGGACATAATCATGACAAAATATACACATGATATACTTTAACAAACTGCCATGCAACAAATACATTAAGTAATGAAGAAATTGAATATATATGACCTAATATCGACATTCACATTAAAAATTTACAACATAACCAATACTTAAAATGTATCCTTATATTTGGCAGTAATTCCATTTTTTACAATTTAAATTTAAAACTTTTCACAATATAGATTTGGTGAAACTTAGATTTTTCCTTAGTCTGTGACAACCTGAGGTACCAAACATTTCTCTCTTATTTCACTATCTTCATAGGTAATTTTTTTGTTTCGTTTAGGATCTATCCAGGAATTGTGTATTACAGCATTGTTAGGCATGGGATCAGCTTCAACTATGGAAACAACTCTTTTTTTCATTTTACTTTTTAAAACCTTTTGAAATTTTTGCCTAGTGAAAGCATATAGTAGAGGGTGAAATATAGTTGTTCCATAAGCCATGACTAGAAAACACAATCTTAATTTTACTAAAAGGTCACTTGGGCCTATACATAAAATTGTAGTATTTAAAACAGAAATTGGTGTCCAACAGAGAAGAAACGTAGAAATAATCAGTAAAGACATTTTGAAGACTCTTTTCTGCCTTTCTCTTCGTTCACGGTGTCGTTTCATGGCTCGCCGGAGGGCAATTATTACAGAAACTGAAGTTCTTACACCAAAGACTACATTTCTCCCACCACTGCTTTGTGACATGTCTGTAGTCTCATGTTGGGTGGTTAGGGAAATTGTCTTTTTCTTTCTTGCTTTCTTCTTCTGCCCTGTCGAAAATCTTGTGCCTATTCGAATATTAAGAGCTTGAAGTATCTTGGTGTATGTGATTAACATTACCACAACTGTGAAAAAGAATATTGGGATCTGTACTAGAAGGTGATAATACATTCCCAGTTCAGTGTAGTATTCATTTGTACTGACACACAGAAGAGTCTTGTTTTCCCATATATTTCCACTTTGGAGACTGAAAAAATTTACCTCAATAAAAGGAATCAGGAAGGAGAAAAAAGAAAAAATCCAAATAGATATCATTAACATTACAGCTCTGCCCATTGTCAGAATTCGGTTTGCAGGTTTTACAGAGATGTCATATCTGTCTAATGTGATCGCAAAAACGTTGATTGCTGTTGAGACACTTGCAAAGGAAACACAAGCCTCATGGAAACAGCAGATGAGAGCAGTGTTACTCTCCAGTGAAAGCAGAAGGATAACTATAGTTAGAGGAATACATCCCACACAAATAATTACATCAAGTACATGAAGATTCATTGTAATAATATTACTGACAGAGTTGATTAAGTTGGATTTCATGCAGTAAAGTACCAGTACGGTGAGGTTGCTGCCAAGTCCCAAAACAATTTCTAACATAAGAAATCCAGTGAGAGACACTTGAAAGCTTAATGGATATGATAGTGGTTGGTACATATTGGTGTTGATGTCATCAATGTCATCTCGCACTGTAATGTTAGAATCAGACTGCATGTTGATTTCCAGAACAGGAGAGAGACACATTCTTTTGGAGCAGTTGTTTTTTTTTTTTGTTTTTTGTTTTTTTTGCCTAGAAAGTGAAATAGAATAAACTATTTGATTTTGGCAATTTAAATGATGAATAAAACATGTAAACAAACCATCTTTTTATTGTACACCTTTATTTTTTAAGTTTGTAAAGTGTAAGTGGGAAATGTGGAGATAAAACATCAAGATTACATTTGTTTTACTGTAAGAGGAAATGATCTTCTTTGGAAAAAATAACTATTTAGGGATTGGTCCCCTAAATGCAAAATGGCTTAAGATACTAAAGAGGTTTGCCTCATTTGGAAATGTGATTTTTTAAAATTTTTTTTAGAGAAAAAGTACTTTTGTATAATAAAACTATTGAGTATGCAACACTAATTTTAATCTGATGACTTAAAATTTCATTTTACAATGTTGTGAGTAGATACAAAGTAAATGATATTTTAATAAGCTCTAGCATGATTAGTGTAGGTGTAATTATTCTTGTGAGATTTCAGCTGAACAGGGCAAGTGTTCATTTAAAAGGATAAATATACCAAGTGCTAGTTTGTTTCAAACTACCTTGTGCATGTTGATGGAATCTCTTAGAATTTAGCATTGTGCTTAGGAATATTTAGAGTTATTCCCCACAGAAAGAAGGAAATGATAATTTTTTGTATATCACAGTGAATATGCTCACTTGATCTTTACAATTGGCAAACATAAAAATGGAAAGAAAAGGGATATTAAGCCAAAGTGAAAGTTACAAGGCTTTTTTCTTTTTACATCACTAATAATGCCTATATATTCATTTTGTGACCACACCCTCTTCTGTCTTCTGGAAGAAGAAAGTTGTAGTTTAATACATACTAAGAAATAGTCATTTTTGAAGTGGTTCAAAACATACTAGTTGACTTTATTTGTTTAATCAGAGGTTTTTTAAAATTTTATTTTATTGTAAAGATGCTGTACAGAAGGGTTACAGTCAGAATATTTTTTAAGTTTTTTTTTTAAAACAAGCTATAATTCAGGTAGAAGTATTCTGAAGCCAATATTTTAAGGAAGCTTTTAAGTTAGACATTACCTGTGATACCTTTTGTGTACATCAGCCATGTATACTTTTGAGGAAAATTTTAAAAATAAACCTTTTTTTTTACTAATTCATGAAAATTATATTTTAATATGCAGGGGTTTAGAGTTATTTGTGTGAATCAGTATATTCAGTTTACAATATAAAAAATCACTAGCAAACTTACATTTCAAGTACAGCATTTTGACTATAAAATTCAAACTATACAAGCTAATAATTTTCAAAATTTATGTTAACCATTCACTGATGTTATCTTTGACAAGGTTTAGAACATAATTTTATTTCTGCATATTATTTTGGAAATACTATCTCAAACACATGATAATATTTTTGAGTTATTTAAGTATTAATAGAAGCATATTTATTCAAAATAGGTAAAAGTTTTAGCTTACTCTGAAATCTTATAAAAATGGAAAATTTTAAGCATGCCAAATTTTCAGAGTTGGTATATTAAACATCAGGTCTTTGTCACACCAGAGTGTAGTTAAATAAACCAGTCATGTCAAGTGAAATGACAATTACGGAAAGTATCAGCCCCCTCCCTTTCTGGTAAATGTTAACACGGTGCAGTGCAGTGGGGTGCATGCATCTCTGACCTACCTGTTTGCTGTTACCTTATGGGCGATTTAGCTCACTACAGCAGGCAGTTTTTCACGAATTGATACATGATGTCATTGACAGATTTTGACATGAATTGTTCACTGAGAACAGTGAAGTAGCTGTATTTTATCTCATGTCTTGTAGGAATTCTTTCATTTTTCTCTCCAGTACTTCAACTGCATGAATTGTGAGATTAGTTGGCTGATGGATTGCTAAAGAACAGTACATAATATTTGTGTTTGATTTACCTTAAAAAGTCACGACCAAGAGAAACTTCCTCAAATGATAGGAATTGTGTTTTTCTTTGAGGAAATGTATGATAGAGTCTCTTTACGATACTGTCTGAAAAAGAGAAGCATAAGGTTTCTAGCTTCCAAAATGTATTTAGACATCCTTTTGTTATAACTGTAAATCTGTTTGTACAGCAGTCTTCATTATTGTGAAATGATTTCTTGATCACATAACTTGCTTTACATTATAAATCCAGTCCATGCTCTCTTGATAGAAACCATCTGCTATTTAATTTGGTTTGTTTTCATTAGAAGAGGACACATAATTGGTCATAAAACTCAGATGGAAAATCCATTAGTCATATCAATTGATATGAATATCCTGAATATTTAGTGCAGAAAACACTTGCTAAAGCTTTGTTTTGCTCGTTGGTACATTCTCCTTTTTGGAATTCGTGTTTCATTGTTTCTTCAACATTAGTAGCTTCCATAATTCTCATGTGTTCAAGTGTAAACTCCTCCTTTAAAAATGCTCACCATTTTGTTTCAGCCTTTTACAGTTATATTTTCTTTTTGTGATTATTGTATTCAGCATCTTCTTAGGGTACTGTTAATTTTTTAATATTCCAGCAGTATTGTAGACTGATTCCTTGGTTTTAACTCTTCAGTTTCTTAAAATCATATTTATAAGTGCATCTTGTAGTTCGTAGCTCACAGAGCTAGGGAAACTCAATCAGATGCATTCTTCATATTATAAGTTGTAAATACTGAATTAGCTGCTTTAGGTCCTATGAACAAAAGAAAAAGAAAGGTTAAGAAACAAGATTCCTAATAATTTCTAATTAATTGAAAGTTATTCTGATGAATTAAAACCATGCACCATTTGTTCTTAAAATAAGCAGTACTATTGCTAGAATCATAACTATGTGCATAAAATTTAAATCCTAAAATACCTCATTTTCCTAACAGAGATTGTATAGATTACTTTAACAATAGAGTTAGCATTGTAAATATAGCCACAAGAGAAAGACTGTATTTATAAACTAATTTCTGCTGTCTTTTAAGAAGCTAACTTGTATTTTACAAGATTATAAACAATTAGCATCTACTAAACACACTCTCATTCCCTCTTTTAATAAACTGAATGTTTCCTACTATAAAAACACTGTAGCTTGCTTAATTATCAAAACATCGGTTGAATCTTAACACCTTAAAACAGATTTCATGAGAAGATACAATGAATTTTTATTTATGAATTGCTCATGTGGTTGAAGCAAAAGGCAATACAAAAATTAACTATATTTTTTCAGTGAATATGCATGCTAATAATCCTAGCATAAAATTGAGTAATAGATAACAGATTGATACCAAAACTGGTTCTTATAAGAAATATTAGCATTTTTGGACACTAAGAAAAACTATACGGATAACATTAGGAATCAAAAATCTGTCTGAAGTGACTTGAGAGCTGATGCCTTCATGGTGAATTAATAAAATATTCTTAACCCATTCGAAACATTTTACATTAAAATATATCTTGTCTTCAGAGAAATAGATTTAAAAATTACATGCTTAGCAATAAGTAGAACTAAACATTAAACTCTTAACATTTAGGCTGAAATTTAAAAAGTAATTTCACCCCACTGTGATAGTTTAAAAGCTACTGTATACTATAATAAGGAACACATCTTACCTCTGCTAAATATATGATAAATTCTTGATGTAGTTGAAGCATTTCCCGTTTTGATTGATTCATTTTGTTTGCTTGTTAGTAGAGGATGAGGGGAAGAGGGTTATAAACGTCTCTTCAGAAATGACCTTAATGAAAACGTGTCTGTATGGTGCCATTGTTTCAGCAGTACTGCTGATGTATAGACCGTGTAGTGCTGCTTTGAAGCTGCTGCGGTTCCTCACAATCAGTAAGCATCTGAAAATGCAGAATGTTTCTTCTCTCCAGAGACATTTAGATTCAGTCTTTAAAAAGGAACGGCACTGTTTTCAGAGGAAAGCCTGTTCTGAGCAGCTTTTGCAGTATGACAGCCTACCTTGTCGCTTCTCTCCACTGCAGAGAGATGCAGTGCATTCACTAATTTTGATTGGTCAGTTGTATTGAGCTTAAACTGTGCTTCATATGTATAGCAGAGATTCCCTCCCACCCTACTGTTTTATATAAGAGTGCTTTCTTAAAAGACTAAATTTATAAGTGCTTGTATGTTATGCTTAAATAGAATATGAGTAAATTAGTTTTTTTTTTTAAACATGTGTATTTTGTTCTGGATTCTTGGTCACTGATGCCAAATGTTAAAAAATGCATGGAGATGTTTTCTTATTGTGTGTAGGGGGAAGGTGGTAGGAAAGGTTTATATAGTCAAAAGTATATATGTATATACTAAAGGCTCATTAATTGCACTTGAGAATATTTTATTATTTATATATAATTTTGGTGTAGTTTCTTTGTTCTACAAATAGAAACCCACTGCATTTTTACAGTGAACCACACTGAATTTCAACTAGTTTGTTTGTATTCAAGTCATCATCATGTATTCCAAATGTTTGTGAATATCTCTAGGTATTAAATTCATTGAGATATTCTTTTATTTCATTCATTCATTCAGAATATTAAATCAGCTTGATCCAAGGTAATTTTACCATAAAATATTTTTAAAACATTTCCTTGCCAGTAGCATACTAACAGTAGCATACTAAAAGTTAATATTTTGTTTTACTTTTTGGAAATAGTAATCTCAATTTTTACCTATAGGAAGCTTCTCATTTAGCAAATATATACTGGCCATTTGCCATTAGTATTTTATTTCAATTGGGTATTTCTGTTGTGGCTTGGTCACATTTCTTGGTAGATTGCTTTTGGCAAATAGATGTTGCTAGATTAGTGAAGGAAAAGTTACTTGTAACTTGTAGTTTATGTCTTCATTACTTAAAAAGCTAAATTATTTTCAGATAGACTGCCAAAAAACCCAATGGTATAAAAACTGAACATATGAATTAAAAATTAATTTATATTCATTTTTTGTTACCTCTAAATTTGTTTGTTTTCAGTAGCAAGAATAAATATTTTTTTAGACTTAAGTATGTCAAGTGGCTGGATTCTGTACTTA